TTCCTGGCTGCTGTTACCAAGAGTGTTGACTGTGGAGCCAAGTAAACTAAAACTGTTAACTATCTCAATCTCTTCACCATCCATACTGATGCTGCCAATTCATCCAGTGGTGAGAATCTTATCCATATAATGGAATTTATACCTAGTTCGAGATGAACTTATACATGAATAAAAATAAAATAGTGTTACATGGGTAGAGCAAGTTTCAGAAAAGTGTACATACAGTCTCATAATGTGAAGTTTGTCACATATAAACAGCACTACATACATGTACATACACATGGATATATTCATACATACATATGTGGATGCCCCTCACGGTTCTGAGCAGTCATTAAGCTAGTCCTTAGCTACTAGCCAAAAGGTTAGAAGTTCACATCCACCTTCAAAAAAAGGCATAGCAATCACAGTTCTGCTTTGACACACATGCGGTGTCCATGAGACAGTGAGTCCACACCAGCTGGGCTGGGTTTGGTATGTGAACAATGTAAAAAGGGAGCTGGACTTAGTCCTTACAGAGTTGTGCTGCTAGTTCAAAGGAGGTACCTTCTGATGGCCCAAATCCACCTGCGGCTTCTCTGGAGAAGATGAGCGGTCTCCTCCCGTGCAATTTACAGCCTCAAAACGCTACTGGAGTCATTTCTGCCTGGACAATAATGACTTTGAGTTTGACATGAGAGTAAAATGTGGGGGGAGGGTTGGGAGGGGAGAAAAGTGCAACAATGAATGAATGGAAATTAAAAAAATGTTGCTTATGAGTCCTCACAACTGGACTCATAAGCAACATGATAATTGTAGTTGTTATGTGCCACTGAGTTGACCATAACTCATAGCAACCTTATGCACAAAAACTCTGAACCCTGCTCTATCCTGAGCCAAGCTCACTCTCTCCGACACACCTACCCTCAATTACACCAATCACTGAGTCAATCATCTCATCTGGGCTCTTCTTTTCCTGTGCTATCTCTCCATCCTTCCAACCATGATCTCCTTCTCCAAGGACTGGTCCTTCCTGGACACATGCCCAAAGTTTATGAGATGGAGTCTCAAAATCCTTGCCTCCAAGGAGAAACTTAGTTTCACCATCTCCGTGACAGATATGTTAGTTCTCTTGGTCGTCCATGGTATGTTCAATACTCTTCTCCAGCATCACAACTCAGAGACATCAATTCTGCTTCTGTCATCCTTGGTCATTTTCTAGCTCTCTGATGCATAACAATTAATTCCAAAGGCCATGGCCTGAACCAGGTGCATCTTAGTCTTTGGCATTCATGTTCTCCAGCATGCTGGATAGTTTTCTGACAGCATATTTTCCTAATGCAATTTGTCTTTTGATTTTATGACTGCTGGTGCCAACAGTGTTGATTGTGGAACCAAGCAAGCTGAAATCGTTAATAATCTCAATCTCTTCTCCATCTATCATGGTGCTGCCAATTGACAGAGTGGTGAGAATCTTTATTTGCTTGATGTTGAGCTTCAACCCATATTGCAAACATTGCACTTCAGGCCCTCAAAGATTTTGTTATACTTCCATCCACTACCAATACCTATGGAAGCAACAGTCTACAACTCAGAGTATTCCATTGGGCACATCTACAGCCAAGAATCTCTGAAACACTGAAAAACAAGGACATCAGTTTAAACACTGAGGTGTGCTTCACCCAAGGCTTGGTATTTTCCATTGCTTCACATGCAGATAAAATTGGACAGTTAAATAAGGAATATATAAAAAATCCTGATGTGCTTGAATTGTGATGTAGGCAAAAAGTCAAAAGAACAAACAAGTCTGTCATGGATGAAGTTAAGCCAGAGTGCTCCTTAAAAAGGATGGTGAGACTTTGACCTACTTGGGGGTATCAGTTCTCAGGAGGGAGTAGCATACTTGCAAAGGTGGAGAGTCAGAGAAGAGGAGAGCCCCCAACACAATGGATTGACACAGTGGTTACAACAATAGACGTGAGCACAGCCAAGACTGTGAGGCTGGATATGGCAAGGTTTGAGTTGCAAGAAGTCAGAGTCAACTCAATGGCACCTAGTAACAACACATAAGGTTGCCAGGATGTGATCGCCTTTTACATATAAAAACAGCTATTTCATTTGGTTCAAACGAAGTCAGTACCATGCAGGATGGCACACACAGACCGTGGACTAGCATTAAGGACCACTGCTGGGGCAGTAACAACTTTCCCAGGCCTCCAGGGCCTAACACTAAGTGAAGAGAGCCTATCTGCAAAGGTACGGTTCCACCCAGCACACCCATGTGGTGGTTCCACCCCGCACTGGTTACTTTATGCAACGTGCCTGACTTGACAAAACTGGATGCTGGGGGACAAAACAGTTATGGCAGATGCTGGGAAGGAGAGAGGAGGAAGCTGCAGCTATGCAGGTGTGGCCTGGGGTCCCACATGAGGGGCCCGTTCTCTGTCCTGATGGCTGTGGTAGCCTCTCAGAGCCACCTGTGTAATAAATGTCAGTTCCAGGACCCTGGTTGTGGTATTAGTCTAGAGTTATACTACATGGTGGACACTGGAGAACCACAAACGTTGTAAGCTAGTCTTTGTATTCTTTCTTAAAGCTATATGCAAACCTGCAATGATCTCCAAGTCAAAAGTCCCATCATAGGAGAAGCCTTCATTCCAAGCTTGAGACAGAAGTTCTTTTCTGGGAGGGGCACACAGGGAGCTCCAGCTCCCTGTAATGTTTTAAAAAACATTTTTTAAAGAGAAAAGTCTTCAACAAATAAACATAATGTGGCATTTCTTTGAAGCTGAGGGGTGGGTACATGGCTAATTATTATATTATTCTCTGTAATTTTTTTATGTTTGGAATAGTTCTTGCTTTTTTAAAAAACTGGCCTTCCATCCTGAGCCCAGGCTGGGCCTGAGGTGCCAGGCGGACGGAGAGCTCACCCAATGGAAGGAGGTGAGCAGGGACTGGGCTGAGGCGCCCCACACACGCCAGATGGCACCTCCAGGGCTAAGGGCAGTAGAGGCAGGGCTCCTGGGCTGGCCCTGCTGTGTGTGATTCACCCCTCTCTCCCACAGCCCCCAGAGAAGGAGGGTGCCCTGCCTTGGCAGGTGGGCAACAAGACGGAATGTGGCCTGCTGGGCTTTGTGCTGGACCTGAAGCAGGACTACGAGCCTGTGCGTGCCCAGACACCAGAGGAAAATCTGTACAAAGTGTACACCTTCAACTCAGTACGCAAGTCCATGAGCACAGTCATCAAGCTGCCCGATCAGAGCTTCCGCATGTACAGCAAGGGTGCTTCAGAGATTGTGCTCAAGAAGTGAGTGGCCGCGGGCCCAGGGCAGGGCAGGGTGCTGGGGCCCTTCCCCAGGGCTGGGACGTCCAGGTCACACAGGGCCTCCAGCAGGCCTGGGCTGGAAGGGCTGCCCCGCACTAGGAGGCACAGAGGGCGGGAGGCAGCTCCAGGGCCACACACCCAGTCCTCCTGCCCTGCATTCTCTTCAGATTTCTGGTTTCTTCCTCCTCAGTTGTGCCAGTTATCACCCTTCTTGGTGGTTATGTACCACCATTAGGACTCTAAGTAACCCCATGATCAACAGACCAGACCCAGGCCCTGCTCTGTGCCTCCTGCACAATCCCCATCACACCCAAACAGTTACTGTGTCAGCCCATCTCACTGAGGGCCATCCTTAGCTGTCCTCCCCAGGATAGCTATTTTCATTGTTGGCCAGTGTCTTATTCCAGGTCCCAGATAGAGAACTAAGCCAGTCACTGCCCTCGTTTGGGGCTGGTTCTCTCCTTTGTTGCTGGAATTGCTACAACCCTGGCTGTACTCAAGGAACTTTAAAAACCATTGTTCCTTGACACACTCCAGACCAATTGAGTAAGAACTTCTAGAGCAGATATCTTCAAGAAGGCTGCCTGATTGCTTTCCAGCAGATATTTGAGAGGCTTTCTAGTTTTTTTTGGGAAAGTTTTCATTTAACCCTTTCTTGGAGCCATGGTTCTGGCCTGTGCTCACCATGGGAAATGAAGCAGGAAGAGCAATGGCTGATAGATCATGGGTGGCTGGGCCTCACTGGGGAGAAGGAGGCAGTGCCACTTCAGGTCAAGGGAGGGAACCTGGAGCCCTCAGCTGGGCCTAACTCATCGCACTCCCACCCCCCCACAGATGCTGCAAGATTCTCAGTGGGGCGGGTGAGCCCCGGGTCTTCCGACCCCGAGACCGCGATGAGATGGTGAAGAAGGTGATAGAACCCATGGCCTGTGACGGGCTACGCACCATCTGTGTGGCCTACCGTGACTTCCCCAGCAGCCCAGAGCCCGACTGGGACAACGAGAATGACATCCTCAGTGAGCTCACCTGCATCTGCGTGGTGGGCATTGAGGACCCTGTGCGGCCCGAGGTAGGCCTTGAGAAGGCGGGCTGTGGCTCAGGCACCTGCCGTGTTCTCCCTGTGTAGCTGTTCCAGTGCCCCAGAGGGTCACTCTGAGACCAACACCTGCCACCCTTGTCCAGGTCCACGTAGGCCCAGGGCACAATTTGCCAGCAAAGCCACAGGTGCCCCTCTTCTGTGGGGTTATGTGGCCAAAGGCCAGGAGTTGGGGCTCAGCCAGGATGTCCTGGAACAAACCTCTGGACCTACACCCTAACATCCTTGCAAGGACATGCCCAATAGCTCAGGAAACCCAAAGTGTGTATCCCGTCAGTATTTTCCACCCAGAGATGAAGGTGACCTGGCTGGCAGTCAGGTGACCCTGCAAGATTTCCCAGTAGTATGTCAGTGTACTTTTATCAGGTCTCCAGGGGAGCAGATTGAGACATTTAATGCAAGAGGGCAAAGGGCCTGTTAGGTGGGGAGACGGTACCACCTAGCCAGGACCAAGGGAGGCGGGGTGTACAAATGTACCAGGTGGTGCCCAGCACACAGAGGCCCTGTGGGCTTCCTCAGCTGACTCTGCCTGGGCCACTAAGGTTGCAGACAGCTGCTTCCACTCCCCGATATGCTGCTTAGGCAGGCCAGGTGGCCAAGGAGCCCGGTGGTGATGGGGCCTGGTGGTGATGAGGCCCTGTGGCCGAGGGGCCCGGTGGTGGTGGGGCCCGGTGGTGGTGGGGCCAGGTGGAAGGGATCTATTTCCTGTGGGGCCTCAAGCACACACTGTGTCAGTTCTCTGGTCAGACCTGACTGTATCCAGCTAAGCCTTGGCTGTGAGATTTGGTGATAGCACCCTGACCCACCTCCCCAGCTGAGGGCTTTTTAAGCCTTTTCTGCTTGTCGAGGAGCCTCAGTTTCCCTAGATTTAAAGTGAAAGGCCATCTCTAAGCTCCTGACTAATGATTCTGCGTCCCAAAGATCAAGTGAAGCCAGAGGGCCAAAGACAGGGGCTTTTCTGTTTAGGCCAGGGCATGGTAGAGGCTGAGAAATTGAGCTCGGGCATCAAGGAGTCTGGGACCCTGTGTCCTAGCATTGGTGACTGTGCACACCAACCTCTCTGAGCCTCAGCTTCCTCATCTGTAGACTAGGAATAATAGCAGTGTCCCCTCAGGCAGGACACTGTCAAGAACAGACCACACCCGTGTGAGCAGTAAGCATGAGGTGGGGGACCCTAAATATTTGGGCCCTTCCTCCATCCCATTTCTGGGACTGTAACACAGAGGCACTCCATATGTGTGCATGGAATGACTAAATGGGAGTTGAACGCCAGACTCCCCACACCCCGTTGCACACACAGAGCCTCCTGTGGACGAACACAGTCTTCATTCCTCTTTCTTCCCCAAAGCTTCACACAGCAAAGATGATCCACGCCTCTGGCCTTGGCCCTCTGCCCACACCTGCAGGCCCCAGTTCTACAGGCAGGAAATGCCGTCTTACCCCAACCCTAACTGTCGAGGCTTCTTTTCTAGGATGTGGCAGCGCCTTGGTGAAAATCGCTCAATCAAGTGGCAAAGCCTTGTCCCTGAGTCACACCAGGGCTCGCCACATCCCAGGAGCACCCCCACCTCACCAGCACCCAGAGGGTGTGGTGTGGAAGCAGCTTCAGACACAGACTTTTTGGCCATAATCCACTATTGAAAATACATGTCACGTCATGCCTCAGCAAACACACATATACACAACTCAGACAAGATACCCATAAAGGAATGTGTGGTGGAGGTATTTTGTATTTTTCTCTCTCTCTTTTTAAATAATGCTGAGATTTCAGCATGTACTAAAGCAGCTATGTTTGAACTGCTGGTCTAGTCCAGATACCACCCTACAAATGAAATTTGCAGGTGAAAGCCCAAGTCATGCTGCCTGTGTCTTAGTAAATCTGCATCAGTGATGGTTTTCTGCCTTCCCACCCCAGAGCTTCCTCACCCTTTCCAGCAATATAAAGGTGAAGAGAGGAAACGGAGTGGACCCCAGGGAATCCGTCCCTCCCAGAGACCCAAAGTTTCATCCTCGGGTCTGCATTTGAGAGACGACTGGTGACAAGCTGCTTCCCCTCTCTGGGTCTTTGTTTCCTGTCTGTAAGACAGGAGGCCTGTCTAGGTTCCCCACTAGTCCTTTCCAGGCCCTAGAATTCTCCAGAAGGTTTAGCTTGACAGTTTTTCCCCCTTCAGTTTGAATTCCTGAGGGTAGACCTTCCTCATCCCTTGAATTGCCCTCGGTGTGTATATTTAGAAGTTGTTGAAAATGAAAGTGAAGAGAACTTGAAACATTTGCTTCCAAAGATGAAAGACTACAGCCTTCAGTATGGGTGTCTATCCACGTTCATGTGAAATCCTTCAGGATTTCAAAATCCTCCCCACCGAGCCAATAGGCAGCATCACTCAGCCGATGATCAGAGTCACAGCTGTCTTCACCATGATGGAGAAAAGATGGGAGTTAGGAAGAATTTCACTTCACTTGGATCTACATTCAATTCTCATGATAATAGCAGCAACAAATCAAAAGGCGTGTGGCACTGGGAAAATCTGCTGCCAACAACCTCTCCAAAGTGCTGAAGAGCAAGGATGGTGGTTTAAAGACTACAATGTGCCTGATCCAAGCCTCGTCTATTCATTTACTTCCTGTGCATCTGAAAGTTGGAAGGCTAACTGAAGGGTGACAGGAGAAGAATCAATGCCTTTTAATTGTGTTGTTGGAGAAGAGTATTGAATCATGGACTGTCAAAAGAACAAACATGTCTGTCTTGGAGGAAGTACAAGCAGGGTGCTCCTTAGAAACCTTGGCTCCCATACTTTGAGCATGTTGACAAGAAGGGCCTGTCCTTGAAAAAAGATACCATGCTTGGAAAGGTGGAGAGTCAGAGAGAGAGAGACCCGCTACAAGGTGGATTGACACAGTGACTGTAACAGTGGGCTCGTCTCTAACAATGAGTCTATCAGAGATGGTGAATATGTCACAGGATAGGGCAAGATTCAAATCTGTTTTTCATAGGGTCACCATGTGTTATTCAGTGGCACCTAACATCAACAAAATGTATTTCGGGAATGGCAATCCGAGTCAAGGGCAGAGGTTCAGGTTACTCACCAGTGACCTCGGGCAAATTACTTCACTGGGCCTGGGTTTTCCAGTGAAACTTCTTCAATGAAAAATTAGATAATTGACCTGTGAGACACACTATCGAGTAGCTGGTGACCCTTCCTGAAAACATGAAAGTTCAGACCTATTAATTCAGAGGCCCCCAGAGGGGAGGATACACACATGGTGGGTTTTATTTCTTTTTTCAGCATAGATAAGTTGTGCAGCTCAAGCCCGATGCCAGTGGTTCAAAGCACAGATGGGTGAAGTCAGTGCCATGCCATCCACAGCCCTTGGTAGCAGCACAGCCTGGATCCTGGGTGTGTACACAATAAGAGAGTCTTTAACAATCTCCAAGGAAGTTGAGGCTGAGCCAGGGAGGAAACCTCAGGCCTAAACAACCTCTGGGACCTTTCAAACTGGCTCAGAGAGTTTTGTACCTAGCACAGGCTTTAAACAAACCCCACCTCCTTCCGTTTCCCCTCTGTCAAGAGGCAAATATTCACATTCTCCATAAAGAAAACTACGGACAAAAATGATAAGACCACACATGAGGAGCACCATGGTCCCTGTGGGATGCTGATCAGAAAGGGTGCAGATGGGGCTATCGAGGAGCAGCGGTCTGAGATCTGCCACTATCCGAGGGTGTTTTGAGCCCAAGAGTCAGAGACAACATCCCCCACCAGAAACAACAAATGAAGGTGGTGGTGGTGGTGGTGGTGGTTGTTTTATGCCTTCAAGTGGCCTGCGACCCATAGCTACACTGTGTACAGCAGCTCTGAGTCCTGCCCTGCCCTGAGCCAGTCTCCATCTCATCGGGGTCTTCCTCTCCTGCACTGTCCCTCCACCCTTCCAAACATGATGTCCCTCTCCAAAGACCGGTTTGTCCTGGCCACATGCCCAAAGTATGTGAAACAGAGCTTCAAAATCCTAGCCTTTATTTAATGAAAACAGAAGGAACCCACTTTCTGGTTGCTTTTCCTCAACAAGAAACATACAGGCTAATTTTAGCAAAAGCTGCATTTTTTTATTTCCAAATGTTTGAAAATAAAATATTTTTGGCACTGAGTGAGTGCTGCTCTTCTCAGATCCTTCTGTGCACAGGGCACCTGGAGGGCATCTGCTCAGGGAAAGGCAAGTGAGGAGCAAAGACAGGACTGAGCACAGTTGAGGGATCACCCCACTGGGTGGGAAGCATCAAGAACGTCTTTGTAACTAGAGAGCATTTCAAGTGAAAGGTTGACAAGATTTTTGGCCCATAGAGATGGAGGAATGGAAGGCATCAGGGCAGAGGAACAGCTTGGGAAAGGACAAGGGTGTGAGCAGAGAGAGAAAAGGCTAGAAAGGGAGCTTGGAGCCAAATTGTGGAGAGTTTGCATGTTCTCATGGGAACTCCACAGATTCTGTATGAAATCGTGCACCATGGCCAAGCGTCAGGACTGAAGGCCCTTCACACAAGCACACTGCATACATCCGCACCCCAACCCTCCACTGTGCCACGCAAACGTGGCCCTGCCCTCCAGTGCCCACCACAGCTGCAGGGCCTGAGTGGGGAAAGCCAGCCTACACGCTGGGACTACTGCCAAAGAGTGGAATTTCAGCACCCTAGAAAGCCGTTTCTCAAGTGTTTCCACATGTATACTCCCAATCTCCCCATATACACCTTCCAGGCTCCTAAAATACCTGATCCAGGATGCACAGCCAAGCACCCAACCCTGCACCTGCCACCTCCACTAATCTGTATCCACCCCTCCTAAAGCTGGACTACCACTGGGTAACAGGTCAGGGTCTCACCAGCCTCCCTCCCTCCCTAGTGTCCAGTGTCTGTGGGGGCAGCCCCATTCAGTGCTCCTTCTGCACCCACAGGGTCTTCCCAGCCTCATAATCATCCCCATTTT